TGGCAGCGTCTGAAACCACGAAAGAAGAAAAAACACGTATGTTTAAGTTCTCGCTTCTTTCTTTGTTTTTTCATTTTATACGTTGTTCAATGTTCTTGTTCATGGGTGTGGCTGTTGTTCGATCTACTAAGCTAATTAAGCATAAAATATAATTTTCTTCTAACTTTGTAAAATTCTCCTTGATCTTTACGTGTACGCGCAGAGATGGCAACGGAAACAAACGGAGGAGTTGATGAAGCCAAGTATGGCGGATACCCAGGAGGTGGAGGGTACCCTGGACGTGGAGGATATGGTGGATACCCTGGACATGGAGGACATGGTGGATACCCTGGACATGGAGGACATGGTGGATACCCTGGCCACGGCAGTTATTACAGAGGAGGCTACTGCCGGTACGGTTGTTGTGGTGGGCGTGGGTACTATGGAGGGGGCTGCCGACGTTGCTGCTCGTACCTCGGCGAGGCGCCTGACGCAGAGACTGAAGCCAAGCCTCAAAACTAAAGTGCCACTCACATAGGTCATTGGATTGGAGTGGTGTCTCAACACTCAATACCCTGTTAGTGTATGTGTGTGTCAGTGTGTGAGGAAGTGTGATATGAATAATTAAGGAAGCTGATTCCACTGTGAAAGCCTTGTCTGTAGTTCTGCTGGCTGGTTTTGCACAAGGAAATAATGTTAATTGTTATTGCAATGATTGAATGAATGCTTAGACTGGCTAAGCTAGTTATTATACATGCATGGTGTTCTCACTTTGATTTCCTTGCTAGGTAACCAAACACCTCCTACCCTTCCAATTTTAAGGCCTTGACTAGTGTTCTAAAATCCACCCATTTTAGGGGTCAAACTATGGTGCACCGAATAACTTTTTGACCACTGTAGCTCCGGCCTCCGGTTATTAAAACCTCATACAGTAGGTTGCCATTCTTGTTTTATTTTTGGGAAAATCCCCTTAAAGCTCCACTGTGGTTTCTAACCATAAATGATAAACCACCTCTCTTGACTCACATGGCAATACAAAACCTCCCTTATGCTTATTCAAATATTGGTTGCTGAAATAGTATTTGATTAAGTGTCCCTTTGGGAGGGCTATCACGGAGTGGATTGGATTCTCACTTTGCAAGGTGGGCCTCACAACAGAAAGCCCAAAAGCTATGTTTGTTTAAAAACCCAAAAAGCCACAATATGCTTTCGTTCAGTCATAAAATTGACTCTACTGTGAGGCTAGTTTTAGTGGCTTCTCTAAAGTGTCTCGGTGAAATCAGTTCAAGCAATAAATAAACCTCAAGCCCTCCCAAATGGGCTTTAAACATGTAGAGGTGCAAGTGGGCTGGGGACAGGTTTAAGTTCAACCCAAGCACCCTAAGAATTCGACTCGATCTTGGGTTATGTCCGATCTATTCAAGCCAAGTCCAGTTTACATTGAAATTTGATGCATTTAGGTAGGGCTTCAATTCGGACGGATTGAACCGGGTTTTAGCTCAACTTAGGCCCAATCCTAAGAATTAGGCCTAAAGTCTGAGTTCGGCCCAAGCCCAAGGTTAATGGTTAATAGATACATATATA